TACATCCATAATCAATACACGATTGTATTAAGGCCCTATAAATATCTAGTAGTGATTGTTTATCTGCTCCCCATTGGTAACCAGAAACTGACCTCATGAGATTCAGAACCTTTTTACATTTTGTTTCAACCAATGTTTTTCCCTCTTTTCCATATAGCCCCATCATCTGCATAAAGTGATGACCCAATATCTCTATCAACATTTAAAAAAAATTCATTTATCACGATGTTAAACAAAATAGGGCTTATAGCGCTCCCTTGAGGAATACCATTTTCAATTTCAAAATCCTCCGACAGAGCATCTCCAACTTTAACCCGGAACATTTAGTTAGACAGGAAGTCTAAAACCCAGTTGGATAGTCTTCCGCCAATACCCATTTCATGCATTTTTATCAGTAGTCCTTCTCTCCACATTGAATCATAAGCTTTCTCAATATCATAATATACTACAGCCATGACCTCTTTCATACTAACCGTCTTTTCTGCCTCATTGCTAACTTTAACTAAAGCGTCTACCGTAGATCTTCCTTTACGTAATCCACTTTGGTATTTGTTTAGCGGCCCTCTTTGCTCTAAATAATATGACAATCTACAGACAATTATCTTTTCCATCCATTTACACAAGTGTGATGTTAAGGCTATAGGTCTGTAGTTTCCTGCATTAGTTGTGTCTTTACCAGGTTTACCAAACGGTACTATCAGAGCACTTTTCCAACTATCAGGCATTACACCTTCTCTCCATATCTTATTGAACAGTTTTAGTATAATTTCCAAGACTTCTTTTGGTAATTGTCTAAACATAGCATAGCATAGTTGATCTTGTGCTGGTGCTGTATATCCACTTTCCTCTAGGACCATTTTTAACTAATGTAATGAAAAGTCCATGTGAAGTGCCGATACATCACTATCTTTTTTCTTAGTTACACCACTATTTGTTCTTAAAATATCCTTTTTCCGTTGTTTATGCATTTCATCTAAATGACTCCCACTATGTACACTTGCAAACTTCTTACCTAGTAGCTCAGCTTTCTCCTTCTTTGTAATTGCCAGGTGTTCTCCATCTATCAGCACTGGGATTTTAAATGATTTTCTTTCCCCACTCATCTTTTTGATCGTTGCCCAAATGTCACCCAATTTAACTTCTCTACCAACGGAGGAGCAGAATTGCCTCCAGGCATTCTTCTTGGATGACTTAAATATTTTCCGTGCCATAGCCCTCTTTCTTTGATAGTCAACCAAGTTATCTTGGCTCAAATGCTTTCTTAAAATTCTGAACGCATGATTGTCTTTTATAGCATTTTTACATTCATCGTTTCACCATGGAACTATTTTCTCATTCACTGTGCTCTTAGGGATGCAGGTTGTTGCAGCACTAATAATCATGGAAGTCACTGCTACTGCGCAGCTATTTACATCACCCTCCACTGATATTCTTTCAGTATACTCAGTTGAAAGTTCTCGGAATTGTTATGAAAACACCATCTCTCTATTACATAACCTTCCTGAACATACATATCAAAGTTCATGGAACACAATATTGGAAAGTGATCACTCCCTATGTTGGTATCGTTCTTTACATTCCATTCACATAAATTACTCATATTTACAGAGACTAATGTAAGATCTATACAAGAAACTGAATTTCTTGTAACATTACCTCTTCCATCATTAAGGCAGGAAAGTGATCTCTCCTCGATGAGTTCTTCAACTACTTCTCCATTAGTGCCTGTATGGTCTCTTCCCCACAGAGTATTGTGAGCATTAAAGTCTCCACACCATATTTCTCTACTATCAACACTTTCTGAGATCTCATGGAATGTTTGCATTGATAAATTTCTTTCACGGATTATAAAAATGGACTACTTTGATATTTCCTCTGGGACTACACATTTCTACTACTACACATTCATACTCATTTGGAACAGTTACCCTTCTATATGCTAAAGTATCCTTAATAAATGTTACACATCCTCCACCTTGTTTTCCAATTCTGTCACATCTAACCGAGCTGTAGCCTGGTAGGACAAAATCCAAATGTGGTCTTAACCAAGTTTTTTGTATACACATAATATCAGGTCTAACTTCCAGATCAGTTACAACCTTCTTGAACTCTTGTCCATTTGCAATTAAACTTCTGGCATTCCAGTGGAGGATATGAAATACCATAATGAAGCTAATCACCTTGAGACACTCCATCATAATTATTCGGGTTCAACATCTTATGAATCAGTTCAGCTGTAACTTCTGTGATCCCCAGTATCTCTATGGCTGCCTCTACAATTGTTTTGATTCTATCACTTTTTTTCTTCTGCTGTATTGCCACATTTACAGTCTTACAGATGAAAGCAACAAAGTTGGTTTTACCCACAATCAGCGTATCTTCATTAATATCCTTTATCCATGGATTTATTTCTGCTTGCCTCTCACTTGGTGTTGGAGATGAAACCTCAATTACTCATCTGTTCTCAGACTCTTGCTTTATTTACTACTTGTGTAACACTGGATCTGAATAGTTCACTTTCCTTCACTTTTTTTGCTGCATCAGCATAAGATACCTGATTAGTTACTTTATATTTCTGCACCTCTCTAGCTTGCCTTTGAACAGGGCATCCTCCAAAAGCACCGCTATGCTCACCGCCGCAATTACAGCATTTCGATTTTGTATCCTGACCACATTTTCCATATTCATGTTCACCTCCACACCTAGCACATCTTTGTTTTCCTTTACATTGTCCAGCAGTGTGTCCCATTCTTTGACACTTGAAACATCTAAGTGGTGCTGGGATAAACTCTCTTACATCATAACTCAGATATCCCATTCTTACTCTCTTTGGCAAAACTTTTTCAAACTCCAGGACTACTGACAGGCTATCAGTTTTCACCCCTTTTCTTTGTGTTTGCAGTCTTGCTCCATTGTCATTGCCAAAGGAACATCATAAATAACACCTCTAAGCTTTGCTGCATTCCCGGGGATATGAGTACTGATCCTTTCCCCATTAAGTCTTTCTGTTTTGAGAAACCTATCTCTTTGCAGTTGGTCTGTAGCAAAGACCAGCAGCCTCCTATTACTTGATCTTACCCATTTCTTTCTCAATTGGTTGTTAGTTTTAGTGCTCCCCGTTTCCTTGTCTCCACATCACATTCACACTTTCCATCAGGATGTTTACCAATCAGAGCCACTCCTCAGCCCACAATGCCCAAACCTCAGTCTGGATAAAAAGTACTGCATCTCTTCTCTTACATCTAAAAGCACATTTTTCTTTGTACTGAATAATATGTTCTCCCCTTCCTTTCATGTTCCAATGGATTTTACTGACCTGTTTATTATTTCTGTGTAATCTGGTGACCCATACTGTAAATTCATTTGAACTCTTTCCTCCTGCTCTGCCTTCTTTGCCACCTCATCTGCCTCCTCATTACCCTCCACACCCATGTGAACCCACAGAAACCTGCTTTGTGAATTCTACACAACACAAGTAAATCAGGCCTGGCCTTAGTTTTAGTATCTTTAATCATAATTAGAGTTTCTGCTGAGTCGCTACATATGACTGAATGCTCCTATTTGTTATCTTCAACCCACCTTAATGCCCAGAGAACTGCCACCAGCTGTGAAGACTGACATGTGGTCTGGAATCCTACACCCTTTTTTATAACCTATTTCAACCTATTTCCCGTCAGTATAGATTTGTAGGTGGCCTCCCCATGATTGACACATCCAGGCTTTTATCTCCTTTGTTTCTTTCCATAAAATATAAGTCAACAGTGGGATCTGGGATCAACCATGAAGGTATATCTGTACGACATGTTGGCGGACATACATTCAAATTCTCAATACCAATTTCCTCTGCCATAGATTTGAGTTTTTCTGTAAAGTTTGTTTTGACCCTTCTTGCTGTTCCAATACAACTCCTCAACAGGTGTGCTGCCTCAACAGTCTTTTTGTTGGTAGTTTTTCATTCTGTCCTTTTAGTTTCATTAAATACTTCAAACCAAGGTCACGTCTTCTTATTTCTAACAGCATCTCCCCTGTTTCTATTAATACAGCCGAGATTGGAGTTGCACAAAACGCCCCACTATGCACTCTAAGGGCTTTTGGTTGGAATATATCAAGTTGATTAATCAGTGAAGGGGCTGCTGACCCATATACCACACAGCCATAATCCATAGTTGATCTTATCATTGCTCTGTATATCATCATCACAGATTCACATAGATCAGCCCCCAATCAGACCCGGCCACACACCATTATTTCCACACATTTCAAAGAAACCAACTCAATATGCTTTTTCCATGTCATCCTTTCATCCATCCACATTCCTAAAAAAATTAAGTTTTTCACTTTTAGTCCTATTATATATTTGTAACATCTGTGTTGGCATTTTCTTTATTATGTCCAAATATCATGTATTTGTTTTTTCTGTAGATATTTTAAAGCCTCAATGATCAGCCCGTTCACTTACTTTCTCCAATGCAGCTTGTATTTGGCCAAAAACATATGAGAGGTTCCTCCCTCGCTTCCAGATGGATGCATCATCTGCAAACAATGAGAACCTAAATTCTTTCCCCACTCTTCCAAACATACCATTGACTAGTATATTAAAAATAACTGGGCTTATTACACTACCCTGAGGGGCTCCATTCTCTACCTCAAGCGCCTCTGATAATTCACTTCCCACCTTCACCTGAATTGCCCTGTTACATAAAAAATCTTAATCCAGTTGAACATTCTTCCTCTGATTACAACATCATAAAGTGCAATCAACAACCCCTCCTTCCAAAGCATGTCATATGCTGTTTCAATGTCCAGAAAAACTGCTACAGCTGCTTCTTTAAGTAAAATGTCAATATCTAAATCTAAAACAGCATCCCTGGAATCAGGAAAACATCATGAACTCTGTGTTTTGGAAAATCATGTCAGCAGGAAACTCCTACAGACCATTTTCACTAACAGGAACCTTAAACGAGATGAGGAGGATTTAAAAGAAACAGGTTATAACTGACCTGAGAGTTTCCAGTGTACAGCGTGGACTCTGGAGTCCAGCAGACAGCAGCTTCACTCCCGAATCCTGCAGGTTGTTGTTGCACAGGTCCAGCTCTCTCAGAATAGAAGACTTCGTGCTGAGAACTGAGGACAGAGCTTTACAGCCTCTCTCTGAGAGGTTACAGCCACTCAACCTGAAAAAGTTTTAAAAGTTTAAAGTTGTGCAATTTTAAATTTTCCTGAAATGCGAGAACACTGGTTTAGTTTCAACGATGGAGAGGACAAATGAAGAGGAACAGTAAACAGTGAACAGTAACGTTACTAAAACAACACAACATCAGCTCTGGTATAGCACCTTCACAACCTAAAACCTCCAGTGTGGGAGCATTTTTCTCTTCACTCAGTCAAAAAGGCTGTGAACTGTAACATCTCAACACCGGAGCATCTGAAGAAGAGGCACGTAACATTGTAGCTCTGTGGACGATGAAGACTCGTCTCCGTAAGCTACTAAGCAAGCTAGCTCCACAATATGTTACTTCGTGTCATGAGCTGTAACGTTTTCTACACAGTTTCCCTTGGTCACTTAATTGTTAATGGCGTTGAGAATAGCAAATAATTATGATACACAACGATCCTGTTCACTTTACAGATGTGCCCTAACTTCATAATCAAACGAGCATTAAAAGATGTATTTTTGAAAGTTGTATTAATTTTATTGTCTTGACTGTTAATTAGCACACGCCTTAAACAAGCTCAACTTTAACTCAAAAGCTGATAGCTAAATGAGAGATATTGTGTAATTTTGCAATTCGTAACTTAACTGTGCATGTGGTACCTTTTCACCTCAATGATAAAGTGATTCATTTTATTTCAGTTATAAACTCCTGGACTTTGAAGGTTCAGTGTGTAAGATTTAGTGGCATCTAGTGGTGAGGGTTGTGAATTGCAACAATCTTTCCAATCTACCACTGCCCCCTAACCTTTCAAAGAGCATAGGACAGCTACGGTGGCTGACAGTGCACACAAAGTGTCTCTTCTGAGACAGCAGAGAGTGGCCAATCAAGAAATGAGGTATATTTAGGTATATTTATTAAGAAATTATATTTACTAAATTATTCAGTAAAACCGTGTGTTATTGTGACTTGGCCACTGACAGACAACATGGAACTGCACACGCACACGCACTGTAATGCAGTATTAGAATTGAAATTAGCTTTTACTAAATTAAATTCTGTAGCCTGCTTGACACAGCTCTGAAAGAGCTGTCAGAAAACGTGATTCCGCTAAATGTCCTCTGCTTGTAGACACTGGGGAAATGAAAAAGCGTCCATAGGTTGATGGATGCAGATCAAACACAGACACAAAAACAATGCAGGACATGCCGTGCTCTAACATTCACTGCAGAATCCACTTGTTGAAGAGAGAAAAATTACCCCGAGGCGGGATTAAACCCTCAGTCCTTGGGTTGCGAGTCCTGCACTTTACCTCCGATGCAAAACTTATTTTCCAACCCCTGCTGTATATTATTACTACCTCTTCTTCTTCTTCTAATGTACGTATTCAACATAGCGATGAGTGTCTGCTCTGCCTGAATTCTACCAGAAGTAGAAAAAGAAAGTTAATGAATCACGCTGTGTAGCGCTGTTTGACCGTTTTCAGCTACTGTAGAAACAAGACGATGCAACATGGCGATGTCCTTGGAAGGGGGGGCCCACGGTTATGTAGAAATAAATGGCTCAATCTAAGGTAATAACAACATAATGGTTTATTATGTAAGGTCTTTACACAACACTGAAAACATATTATTATTATGGATCTTATTTTGCATTTCTGTCGATAGATCCTCAGAAATATTACACACCAAACATTGCAGCAGAATGTGTTTCAGCAGGTTATCTGCTCATATTCAGGTTGGCTAAGGCCTCAGTTTTTAGATGTTTATATTGCAAAATTCTACCAGCTACGTTACCACTCATCACAACTATCTGGACTTACAGCGCAAGATGCACTTGATTAATATCACAGCGTACGGCAGTGTTGCATCAGCTTGGCAGAGTTGACTAGCACCATTTTGCAGAATAGGCAACTGCCCATGTCGCTAATGCCACTGGCTGGCCCTGTATTTGTCAACTATAAAATTGAGCATTTTTGAAATTGCACATACATACATCTACCTACAGAGCTTTGTTGGAGGCTTTGACCACTGGCAGCAGCCTCAGAAGAGCCTCCTCTGAAGCAGAGTATTTCTTCAGGTCAAACACGTCCAGATCTTTTTCTGAAGACAGTAAGATGAAGACCAGAGCTGACCACTGAGCAGGAGAGAGTTTATCTGTGGAGAGACTTCCTGAACTCAGGGACCCACTGTCTCAGCTCCTCCATCATACTTGAAGTTCTTCAGTTTGGACTGAACCACCAGGAAGTGGATGTACATCTCAGTCAGGGTCTTGGGCAGCTCTCCTCCCTCTCTGGTCTTCAACACCTCCTCCAGAACTGTAGCAGTGATCCAGCAGAAGACTGGGATGTGGCACATGATGTGGAGGCTTCGTGATGTCTTGATGTGGGAGATGATTGTGCTGGCCTGCTCCTCATCTCTGAACCTCTTCCTGAAGTACTCCTCCTTCTGTGGGGCAGTGAACCCTCTGACCTCTGTCACCATGTCAACACACTCAGGAGGGATCTGATTGGCTGCTGCAGGTCGTGTGGTTATCCAGAGGCGAGCAGAGGGAAGCAGGTTCCCCCTGATGAGGTTTGTCAGCAGCACATCCACTGAGGTGGACTCTGTAACATCAGTCAGGACCTCATTGTTGTGGAAGTCCAGAGGAAGTCGACACTCATCCAGACCGTCAAAGATGAACACAACCTGGAACTCTTCAAAGCTGCAGATTCCTGCTTCTTTGGTTTCAGTAAAGAAGTGATGAACAAGTTCCACCAAGCTGTACTTTTTCTCTTTCAGCACATTCAGCTCTCTGAAAGTGAATGGAAATGTGAACTGTATGTCCTGGTTGGCTTTGTCTTCAGCCCAGTCCAGAGTGAACTTCTGTGTTAAGACTGTTTTCCCAATGCCAGCCACTCCCTTTGTCATCACTGTTCTGATTGGTTCATCTCTTCCAGGTGAGGCTTTAAAGATGTCTTCTTGTCTGATGGTTGTTTCTGGTCTGTCTGGTTTCCTGGATGCTGTTTCAATCTGTCTGACCTCATGTTCATCATTGACCTCTGCAGTCCCTCCCTCTGTGATGTAGAGCTCTGTGTAGATCTGGTTCAGAAGGGTTGGGTTTCCTGCTTTAGCAATCCCCTCAAACACACACTGGAACTTCTTCTTCAGGTTAGACTTGAGTTTATGTCGGCACACTGGAGCAGCAGTTCCTGAATGAAGAAAGAAGAAATGTGATTAATAAGTGGATGCTGCAGTAAATCTGATAAATGTAAACTTTAAGACATCAAGATGGTATTTATTTTCCTCCTCCATGAAATCTCTTCAGCTCATCAGCTGTGAACAGTTTCTGAGTTTCAGCCCAGAAGAATTCATAGATCTGATCCAAATGTGTGCATCATATTAACAGCAGAGTTTGAAATGGAAACTTCTCCCATGTTGCCTCCATTTCCTCTTTCCATCATGTTAAATCTGTTCAAATCCTCTTACTGCTCTGCAGACGCTCAGCCAGCTCCTCCTGCTTCATTCTCCTCAGGAAGTGCAGTGTGATCTTCAGAAATGCCTCTCTGCTGCTCCTCCTCTGCTGCTCCTCCTCACCGTCCAACACCTCCTCCTCCTCCCTCTCTAAGCATGCTGGGTAATCTGGACTCAGAACTCTCTGGAACTTCTTCACCTCGTTCTTCACAAACCTGCCAATGTTTTCCTGGAGCAGCTGGAACAGAAGAAAATGTAAAGTTGAACTGGTAGAAGTCAACATCAGATCATCTGTGACAGACAGAAAGCCTGCTGGTCTGCAGAGTGCAGCATGGAGACTGGATCAGAATGCTGCTTCACTATTTACTTTGTGGCTCCTGTAATTAGCAGTAGTAGCTGAGCTTGTACATTTACACACCATAAATATGGAGTCCAGGTCTGTTTGATGCTGCTGGGCAGACTGACCACTGGGAACCTCTGAGCTCTGCTCATCAACTCTGTGAAGAAATATGATGATTTGAACATATAATGACAAACAGTGTTACATGTGCTGTGTTATATCTGGTAGAAACAGATCCTCATACACCTATACCAGATCTTGGTATAAAAATGTATGATCTGGTCACTTTCCATGGAAACACCGCTGGGTGCAGGGTAGACTGGACAGGAGAAAATGCTGCTGTTTTACTCATCCAGCTGTGTCTCAGTGGACATCAGCGGACGAGGAGGCTGCTGAGGTCCTACTGGACTCTAACTGGACTTACAGTTACAGTAAGCAGCAGACAAAAGGGCATGCTCATACTTTTAATATTTTTACTTTCTCATGTGTTTGCCATTTGTTTTGCACTGTTCTTTGAACCTGGTTCATTTCTGTGCTGCTGATGTGACATGAGAATTTCCCTCTGGGAATAAATAAAGAGTCTATTATTATTTTTAATTAACAAAGAACAGTGCTGAACCAAGACCTACCTGAGAGCTCTTTTTAGGAGAGTCAACAAAACAACACAAACATTTAAGATTCTTACTTTTGTTCAGCATCATTATGTCCAGCTTTGAAGTGAACAGGGACATGACGGTCGCTGTTCACGGACACACAGCTGGGTCCAGGAGAATCTGGTCTCTGCCGATGGATCCTGAACAATGAAATAACAAATCAGATGTGTCCTCAAAGCAGATTTAATAGATATATTTATGTGTTGGTGTCTCTGGTAGTGAGTTTTCAGCTGAATCTGCAGTTTGTCAGCGATACAGAGTTTTATAGCGACTTTCAGTTGTTGTTTATCTGTCCAGCTGCATCTTTACTGTTAGTAGCTCAAAACTAAACTTCATTCACCTCCATTGAGCAAGAGGAGGCTCCATAGACAATGTTCTTATACATTCTCAAACCTGCATCCAGCTGTTTGTAGATTTTAACCGTGGTTTTGATATTTGGACTAAGATCTGCAAAATGTGAGACCAGTTTGAAAAAGTTAAGAGTTAAGAACATGAAGTGATCAAAACAAAGACACCAAACCTCATCTCAGGAGAGACACAAACATTTAACATGCTGACCTTTGATCAGCAGAGTGG